GAGGGTTCAATATCCTGGACACAATGTTACAAGGGAATAGCGTGTGGGAGGCTTGGAAGGGTATCAAGATTACACCAAACCTCTTTCCCAGCCTTTTTCAAGAAAATGTGATAATTCACTATTATAATAGAACCAACTAACATGCTGCAAAACAATGTTTCATTAGGATGTGTATTAGAGAATAGTGTAAGGTGTAAAGGAGAATTTTTTCCTTGCGTTAATGAGAAGTAGCTCTGGGCATGGAAATTCTGCTGACTAGCTAAAGAACTCCCCAATCCCTTGATGTTAATGAACACCCTGTAAATTGTCAGTAAAACACTAGTGTAAGACCCCTCTGTTTTCTCCAATCGTTCACTTACATGATTATTTGTTACAATTTTATAGGAAGTCCCCAAGTTCGATGAGGATGACAATATTTACAAAGCGTATATAGTCAATGTTAGCTGGTCAGCTGATCACAGAGTCATAGAGGGTGCTACAATGGCTAGGTTTTCAAACCTATGGAAATCTTATCTAGAAAACCCTGCCTCTATGATGATGGACTTGAGATAATAATTATTCTGGGTTCCAATTAGCAGTTATAATTTGTCTGTAAGGATTGTTAAATTGTTAGTAAGGGTTCAATTTTTCATGTTTCTTGGAAAATCAATTTGCAGGGGGGCATCCCTGTATAGCAATTACAAGGGCAAAAATTAGATCAACAACTTCCATAGGGGAAGTAATTCAAGACTAATACAGGACAAATAATGAGGAAATATGTACAAAGTTCCCCCCAAATACTACCTTGTAAATTCAGGTAAATAAGTCCTATTTGTGTTAAGTAACAAATATGTTGCTGAAAGATCTATGTTAATGCCATACCTTAAAAAAAACAATTCTGAAAGTCAAAATCTAATATTATACATAACAATGTCCTAAATGGTTTGATAATTTTTGTCATTCAAACTGTGGTGTGTCATTGGGTGCAAGGTATAATTTAGTTACATTTAAAATTTCATTTCAGTTAATTTCATTTAGTTGTAAATTTAGTTAATATTTATCTAAATGACAAATCACACAATGATGTTAAGTCACTTGTACATGTATACATTAGATGGAGCTATTAAAGATCCTGTTTTACCCTTCACACCACAATAGGGTTCAACTAGTACAAAAACACCGTTATTTATTTTTATTTCTTTTGAAAATTATGTTGACTGTACATTTAGCTGGAGTTTAAAGCACTGTAGCTACAGTGGGAAAAATAATTAAGGTTATATTTTCAAAGGATTTTAATATTTAACCTTTTCTTAAGTAAAGATCTGGCTGTAGTCTATCAACTGGTGTTGAGAAAATGAGCTTTTTTAGGATTATTTATCAATATCATATCTATTTTTGACAGTATCCTGTTTGACCATGTATATCCAAATTCAATAAGGCTTGCAAAAAGTTAGTTTCATAATAGTAAAACTAAGGGTAAAAGCAATTTGGTATTCAAGTATTTTGTAATGTGTTTCATAATCTAATTATAAATCTCATGCGGCACTAATAACACTTAAACTAAATTAAAACAGTTACACTATTCGAGAATATAGTGTGTGCACAAAGTGCAGAATAAAACATTGAGAACAAGCTCATGAAGTTCTTGCAGTTAGTATTAAAAAAACTCATTATGAGGGCAAATTTAAAATAAGAATTTGTTTTCTTCCATTTGAGCATTATACTTTGAAAGAACTCCTCCCTCCCTTAACCACACCAAACATAATTTTAACATAATCAAAGTAAAGCGTGCACTCTGATTGGTCAATTCAGCGACCACCATTTGCCCATGGGTGTATGCTGCTGACATGAGCAAATACAAAGACTAGTTTTCCGTGCGCACTTGTTTTTTCTCGTCATGTAAGATTTGTTAAATAAAAGAAAACTCTTGCTACAATAGATCGATGTTATAACACAAAATGGTAAATGCCACAGTATACACTATTGAATTATGGAAGCACTTGGGAGGTTTACTAAGCACTCAAGAAGCTAGAGTCACTCTTGGCTATCGCCTCATGTGACTCTTGTGCTTCTTTCATGCTTAGCAACCTCCTGCATGCATCCACAACTCAATAGTGTACGCTGTGGTGTTTACCATTTGTTAAGTGGTATAGTTTCTGCACTGATTAGAAAAACTATTAGACAAGCAAAAAAGAGAATGGAAGAAAATAAAATTATATTCTAGATTTGAAGAAAAAACAAACAAATGTGCAAAATCATTGAAAGAAGTAAAGTCATAAAGAAACAAATATTGCTCACATCCACTGTGGTTTTTGATGTTACACTTCGATGGTCGGACAAGTCAAACAGACCATTTTTTACCTACATTGGAGCAATGTTATAAAAGTTATTTAAAATACTACTTGTAGAATAGAGGAGAAGCACATCCACACAAAAATGGTTGATACAGACGGCTTAAACATTCACCACTGCTCACAGATCTTTGCTCTACTTCAGTGTAAATCCTCAATATCTATACACATGTACATTAAGGTTAAACAGTCCTAAGAGAACATCACTCAGATTCTGAAGTTGTCTCATGTCTTTTTCTGCTCTTTTTCCTTTTCTTCTTTTCTTTGTGTTTGTGGCTCTTTCTGTGTTTACTCCTTGGCTTTTCTTTCCTGAAAATAATACTTGCTGCTGTAATTATCATGTAAATATTAATGTTAATTATAATTATTAATAAATTATAATTAAGTATAATTAATAATTAGAACTGATTTTATTTGTGCAAATTGAATCTCGAGCAGCATCTTTCAGTAGTACAGATTTTGTTTTCTGATTCTTAATTATGAACCCAATAATTTTGTGCACTCACTTATGTTTGTTGGTCTTTTTACTTCTTCTTTTATGACTATCAGATTCATCATCACCTAAAACATGTAAGGATAAACATAAAATTATTTTTTTTATCCCTAACATTAAAAATTATTCTAAATGGAACCAAAAACTGCCCAGGAATATCTTAACCCTTGGACCCTGAAAGTAACTAGCATCTAATTTCTTCTTACAAAATCAGTCCCTAACAGTCAGGAGAATAATTTAAAAGGAAATGGAAAATTCTCCTATTTGGCACCTATAGAAACATACAGAGAACAGTATGGAGAATATGCATACTGATGGTGTAAAGGGTTTAAGTGATAATTTATGTATCATATATGAAATTTGCTTAAGTGCACAATCTCAAGTCAATAAAAAACATTAAAAAGTTTGTAGATTGTAGCCACAAAATAATGACAGATGTCAAATTTGACCAAGCTCCCTTACTTTTGTCACTTTCATCAGTTGTTACTGAATGACTTCTCTTAGCTCTGAAACAAGAGACAATTAATATATCATTATAATCTTGCAAAGATGGTACTTAAATTACAAGACTATGTTATGTGTAGTTTGATACACAGCTGAGCATACCTTTTTAAAGCAGGTGGTGAATATGAGGCAGCCCTCTGACGAGGAACATCTCTTTGTTTCAAGGCCCTCTCTAGAGACTGGGATCTTACAAGAAACAGGAAATAGGAAACAATTGTGTGGGAAAGACATCATCATTTCCTTTGATTTTCAGACATAATGCTCTAAGTTAAAATAAAGTATGCAGTATCTAACCTTTCTTTTGCTATTTTTCTCTTCTGCAACTTTTTTCTTTTTGAGTCTGAATCAGATGAAGTAGGAGTTGTTGTAGAGCTGATGCTGATTTCTTTATCACTGTCCTCTTCCTCACTGGATGTACTACTGACATCAACCACTACATCCTTCTTTGGGTCAACGCGTACAAAGTTACGACACTGAAAAGTTAGGTGACCACCTATGAAAAAAAACAACAACAAAGAATTAAAAGAGAACCATTTGTATTGAGTGGAAACCTTTTTGCAAAATACCTTGGTTTCATCAACTGTAAATTGGCCACAGGAGAAATTTTCTAATGCTGACATTTTTGCTCTGACTTAAAGCTCTCACTGGAAACATCAGCAAGCTCATTCCCAGGCCCTATGTTGGGGGTGGAGTGGGGGCTGGGGGTGGGAAAAGGCCTTTTCCTGCCCCACCCTCAACTAAAGGAAAAGGCCCTGGGAACCAGGTTGGAAACATCAGCTTTTAGAAACTTTCTCTGTTGGCCAATCTACATCATGAAAACTGATGACAAAACCAAATTATCTTGTTATACCCCCCACCAACACACACCTGAGCTTTCTAAAACTTACCCCTTTTATCATTAGTTTTTCTAATAAGCAAGACACTCTCCTCTAAATGCCCTGAGGTGAATGATCAATGCAGGCAATACTTATGTTCCTTGGTTAAACTACACTAGTGTTGTACCCAAACTTAAGTTAAGTATGCCACTGGTTTTACCCAAGATATGTACCCGTGTGCAGTCTCATTAAAGCTCTGCATGCATGCCAACTTTCTCATACTGGGAGTCTCCCTGATACAAAACAAGTCTCTTGGTCTTCCAAATGGTTCAACAAGTCTCTCAAATAAAAGCTCTGAACCAGCTTTCAAAGGCTTTGCTCCACTGATGGCTAACCTCGCATCCCAGGATTTACTCAAATCAAAACAAATTTGGTTTTACAAACTTGTCTCGCCATTTCTCAAAGCAGTTTTTATGCAACCATACCTTGACAGAAACTACACAAAAGCTTTCTTCATTTTTTGGGATGGGAGATTGATTAGATCGGGGGAGGCATCAATTTTCTAGTTGGGGGGCACTGCTGAGTTGATGCTGTGGCGGGACAAGAAAAAATATCCAGATTTTAGATCTCCACAGGTTGGCCGGGGATCTCTGGCTCTGAGACTTCAAACTTACTGTAGCCGCATTTCTTGCATCCTGTTCTTTGACTTTCATTGTTCTGGTTGGTTAGTCGTCCAATTAAATCTGGAGATGGAAATACAAATGCCTGATATTTTCTGTGTATTTTATGTAGTCAGAGAAGAAAGCAAGGTTTAAAGCTTGCAAATTGAAATTGAACTTGAAATAATGACTATTCCTCAAAATAAAACTCATGGATTATATTCTCTGCCTATTCGCATTTTAAGATCTACTAAACATGTCATTAGTCAACCTTTGTCTATAATTATAAATAAATCACTCGAATGTGGAACTTATCCATCTAAGCTAAAACTTGCTAAAGTTATTCCAATATACAAAAATGATGATGAATCTGACCCTTCTAATTATAGAACTATATCTCTTCTGTCTGTTTTTAATCGTATTTTCGAAAAAATGATGTCTCATCGTCTCAAATGCTTTCTTGATAAACGTAATATACTTAATGATTCACAATATGGTTTCTGCGAGAAACGACCTACTGAAGACGCTATCCTGGACATAATCAGTCAAATTGAAAATGACATGGACAAAAAGAAGTATTCGTGTGGTATATTCATTGACTTGAGGAAGGCCTTCGACACGATCCACCATTCAATATTATTGCTAAAACTGAATCATTATGGAATAAGTGGAATAGTGAACAAGTGGTTTGCTTCTTACCTAGTAGGTCGACAACAAACAACACAAATTGGTGTTAAAAATATATCCAAGAAGGAAGTAATCTTATCAGGAGTTCCACACAGGTCGGTGTTAGGACCCCTACTTTTCCTCATTTATATAAACAATATATTTAATAGCTCTAATCAATTTAAATTTTACTTATTCGCAGATGATACTAATCTCTTATATGCTGATAAAAACCTTAAGTTACTCGAAATCATAGTTAATGCTGAACTCTGTAACATCTACGATTGGTTTATCACTAACAAGTTATCACTGAATATAAAAAAATCTAACTTTGTTACTTTTTGGCCTAGACAGAAAAAACTGAATCACCAAATAAATTTGAGAATCTTTGACCATCACACTAACAGTTATATTTCTCTAGAATATAAGGAATTTATTAAATGCTTAGGAGTACTTATTGATGAAACTCTTTCATGGGGTCACCATATTGCTCATAAATTATTGCATCCAAAATAAGTAAATCAATCGCTGTTATCTCTAGATTAAGACACTTTGTACCCCTTAGTATTCTAAACCACATTTACAGGTCACTTATCCAACCCTATTTGTTACATGGTATAGTCGCATGGTTGTCAAGCTGCAAAAATTCAAAGAGATAAAATTCTAATCCTTCAAAAACGAGCCCTTCGCTTAATGTACTTTGGTGACTACAGATCTCATGCAATCCCGCTTTTTGTTTCTTCTCGTTTTCTTCCTTTGGATATGCTTTACTTTAAATCAGTTGCCATCATGATGCATGACATATCCAATAATTTTTCACCTTCTAATATATCTAATCATTTGTCACCTTCTAACATATCTAACTTATTCACTTATCAAGCTAATATTCATCGGAGCAACTACAGAATACAGGGCCATTTAGGTCCACCTTATCGGCATGCTTTGACTATAAGACGCCAGCTTGTTCTGTTTTCTTGCTGTATCTTAAATGTATTAATGTAGTTGTAATTTGTCTGGAATTTGTTGCATCCTTTTGTTTTCTGCCTCGTTCTTCAAAGCATGCCGACAAGGTGGACCTCAATGGCCCTGTATTCTGTAGTTGCTCCGAATTTGTAATCTCTTGCTCTGCAAATCTTTTTATTTTACAATATCTTGCTCTGTACGTCTTTTTATTTTAAAATATACGTATTAAACACTGCCCGCCTCGAGTAGCCTTTGCTAACTGCGTGCAGTGCATATTTTTTGTAATATTGTAATACACGCATTCTGTAGTTTTAGGTTCACCTACCCTTAATGTCTGAAGAACTCATGTTTAATCAAATAAAGACTATTTGTGGCAGCTAGATGTAAACTCTACTTTCGTTGTTGACGAACATAGTTCATATTTCAAAACGCCGCCATATTGATTGAACGGCAGGCACTGAGGCTGACTCGGACCAAGTCTCTCACGACCAAATGGGATAAACATGGCGGTTTAGAGATCCTATTGTCTTTATATGTTTCCACTGTATTTTACCCCATTAAGTTGATTGGAGAGCCCTTGATCAGATGTCTCATCGAAAAGCAAGTAAACGTAGGAGAGAATTAGCTGGAGTTGATGATTTCTCCTCATCGTTCTTCCCACAAAAGAAGCGATCGAAATCACAGGGACAAAATTCTCAAACGAACGAAAGGCCACAGAATAATCTGTCGATAGGAGAAACTGAAACTGGTGTGAGAAGGTCATCAAGGACTCCTAAGCCAAAGGTATTTGAAGATGAAGAGACTGCTGTCATTAGTAGAAGTCCTGACGTAACTTCAAGTCCAAAACCAAGTGACTTTGAAATAACTCAGTCAGTAGTCAGTCAGCATTCCAATAAATCCAACTTGATTTCGCCCACAAACGACGCTCCAATTGCCGAAAAACCAAAAAAGATAAGTTTTTCAGCCACTTTTGACGAGGGCCATAAGAGAGAAACGAGACGAAGTTACCAAAGTTATCTGAAAGAAATCGAAACAGAAACGGAAGTTTTCAATGATGCCCCTGTCAGGGTTTATAAGGATAGAACACCAAAGCTCACTGAAAACATTCAGAAGAATCCAAAAGAAACAGGTTCTTTAAAGACACTGATTAAGAAAGAAGCACAAACAGATTTCTCTCCGAGAGTCCGGACATCTTCAAGAACACCAGTTCCTAAGAGGATTTTCTCCTTGCTAGAGGAAGGAGGGAAAGGGGAGAATAAACCAGAGGTGTCTGTCATCCCAGAGGAGGAAATTGAGCCATTACACTTACCATCAACATCTCCTAAAATAAGGTTCTTCTCAAGGGCTTCTGCACATGAAAAACCACAAAAGATTTTCCATTCACTTGAGAAGGATGATTTCATTGAAACAAAACAAGGTGTGACAGAGAATAACAAAACAAGAACTCCAAAAGTTCAAGGTGGTAAGAAAAGTGCATCCAAAGAAGAAAGAAATGATCAAGAACTGTTAAGGAACACACCAGAAAATTCTGACAAACCATCCCCAAAAATCAGAATTTCTTCAAGAGGTCACATGCCAAAAAGAACTTTCTCACTTCTTGAAGGTGATGAGGATGACAAGAATATTGAAGAAAGTACACATAGAGATGACAAAGGTATATCCCAGAGTCTTACTGAGTTCCAAAATACAACTGTAGTCATAAAGGAACCAAAGAGGCGAACAAGCTCTAGCAATCAACAATTATGTAAACCAAAATCATCTCACAAAGGAGATGTAAACTTGTTTTCAAATCATGGAAGTCAAGAGTCACTTGGTCCAACAAACAAATCAGATGTGTCTAAAGTTATCAGTGTGAGTAGTCAAGAGTCTAGGGAAGTGTCTGCAAGAAGAATGAAGATAGAAGATTCTACATGGAAAGTTGATCAGGATAGAGGAAAGATGAATAAACGCAAGGGTAAACCTATGAAAAAGAAAAATACCCAATCAGATGAAGTTCAGATGCCCACATTAGCTGCTTTTGAAGCAAAAGCTGAATCTGACTATCATGCTGGTGAAGAGACATCACTGGCTCCAAAGCCAGCAAAACTTGAAAGCACAGAAAAAGTGAAACAAGCAGATAAATCAAAAGCAAAGAAAGGCAGTGGTGTAAGAAAAAATGTCTCGAAGAAGGATAGAGTAGAAAACAAACAAGGATTTTATTTGAGGGATTCTGTCACAAGTGTTGATGATTCATCCAGTGATTTTAACACTGATGTATTGAATGTGAAAAGAAAGGGAAAGATCATGGAAAACAGTAAACAGAAGGCTAGCAAAATCAAGGATAAAGTGTTTGAGAAGCCAGAGAAAGTTAAAAGTAATCATGACACTGAAAGTGAAGAACATGAACAGATCATCTTAAAATTACAGCTCCCTCAATCAGAGGATGGAACAAAACACAAGAAACATCATCATCATCACCACCACCACCATCATCATCATCATAAGCATAAACATGTGTCAGGAACTCATAAAGACGGATCACCAAAGAAATCACATCACAAGAAACCTGCTGCTAAATTACATCCTGATGGCAGTCAAACAGTTCCAGCACCAGAGAAAAAGAAGAAAAAGATTTCTATCAAATTCAAAGGCCTCTCCAAAAGTAATGTAGAAATACAAAGCAACACCCCAGAACAAAGAAGCAGTACAGTGAATTTACCTGAGCAATCAAAGGAAGGCAAGAAAAAGAAAAAGAAACAAAAGTTACCAAATTCCCAGGTTGAAAAGCAGCCAGCGTCGCCATCACAAACTGAAAGTGAACATGTGAAATTAGTCATAAAGAAAGCGAAGATTCCTGCTAGTGGTAAATCTCATGAAGGGAAGAAAAAGAAGAACACTAAACCAACAACACCAAAGTCAAATAATCAGAAAAAGAAAGTCACTTCAAAAATAGAGAGTAAGGAAGAAGCATCAGTTTCAACTCCAGCCAAAAGAAGCAAATCACCACAGGTAAGTTTCCCTCAGCTTAGCATGCTATACTGTGTGTGTCAATCAATAACCAGAGGGGAGGGGGGGATCACATTCAATTGTGTAGCCTGATCATCTTGGTATGGGAAGTCATGAGAAGAACTTTTGTCAGGAGTGATGACTGACATTTGACAACCTGAGAGGATGGCATCATCTGATTCTGATGGTGACTTCAGTCACTACTTACAACAACAGTCCTCGGAACCACTTTCACTTGGACAATCAGACTACAGGGTCAAATTAGTATCTTGATTAGAAGTCATATTAAGTGTTATAATATAACTGACTCTGCTAGCAAGCAAGATGAGGCTATGTTGCCCGCTCAGGCTAACTCCCTTTTGTTATCTCTGCAAAAAGAAACTCAACTTTCTTTCAGTATATATACATGCAAATGCAAAATATTCAATATCCAGCCATTTGGACTTACAGTAACACTTAGACAATCTTATGACACATACTTGTACTATTATTCAATCATAAATTGTTTTTCTCTGTAGAAGCCCAAGGTAGTGACATCCTATCTGCTCTTCTGCAAGCAACAGCGGAAGAGAATTGCAGAGGAAAACCCTGGATTAGGTACATACTCTTTATAGCACCAAATATCTTTCCAAGAAGATTAGGGTTATGTGGTGATATCATATTCCAGTTGTAAGTTGTATTTGCACATGTTTTGCACGTGAAGCCACTTGATGAAGAATAAATTTTGCCATTTTTGTGCTCTATTTAGTAGGATTTTCTACTTACTGTTTCTCAGAGTTCACTGAAATAAGCAAGAAAGTTGGCATTGCATGGAACAACCTCAAGGAAGATGAGAAGGAGGTAAAAAAAAAATTCATTTGTAATGTAGGTAGCATTGATTCTATTTCATATGACTGTATGTGTTATTATTCTAAGGAAATTAAATTTCTGCTTTACACAATTCCAGAGAAAGTTTGAATGTTCATCTGTGATTCCTTGTAGTATTGGCGGAAAAAGGCAGAAGAGGTGAAGAAAACCCTCGGACTTGACAGCCCAAGACCTGTGTCTGTGTCCAAAGAAGGACAGGCTGAACCTATTGACTTAGCAGCCCATTTACAGCTCTTGGGGGAGTCCCTGTGCACAGTTGGAGCCTGTCTACGAGTACAGGTAAGTAAAAATTGCTGGTCTGTCCTCTTATACTAGCGGGTAGTTGTAAACTTATGTGATAAAGGTGGAAACGATGAAAATGAGATTAGGATCATGTTATGGTTTTATGCTTGTGATGAGAATAGAATTGTTTTATTGTTTATCTGTTAATGCTTTTTTTTCCTTCCAAAGGACCCAGGTGAAGTCCATGGCAGCTTGTCTGTGTTATTAGACTCAGCCCTATGTGCCATATCCCCTTTATTGTTTCTAACATCACAAATACCTGAAATGGATGGCTGCTCCAAAAAGACTCAGGTATTGTTAAAAGGATCATCAAGAGTTTTGTGCTATTTTGCCCCACACATGACCAGCAATAAATAAAAAGTAAGGTTGTCAGTTAAAAACATAACCTTTTTTTATTGCAAATACTCACTCAATGTACTGTCCAGTTCTGAATGGTAGAGTATTGCAGCTGGAAATCTGAAGATCAGGGGCTTAATTCCTCTTAGAAACTCAGATTTTCTAGTTTGTCTCCTGCTTGTGACCAAACAAATAACCTCTTTACTTACTAGATCTTGATCTGATCTCATGAGGGAAAAAAAAAAACAAGTAACCTTGCAAATGTTATTTGGACATCACAACTTAATACTTTGCTTTTATTTTAACAGACTGAAGTGCTGGACAATCTTGCTTATGTGATGCCTGGCCTGGGATGAAACAAAATCATCAAATATACAGCATCATGTTGGAACTATTGTAACAGTTGTAGATAGTATTGGGAGTGTGGGAATGTGGATAGAAATTGACGTAGCTTAAATGCAAAGATGTGACCTTATCAGCAGCATTATGTTGACCGTTTTTCTGAAAGTCCTTTTATTTTGATGAAGACTATCATGAGATTGTCCTAACAAAGTTATTTGCCAGCCATGGTCAGTCTATATTTGGAAAAACTATGTCAAAGGTCTTGATCACAATACAAATGGCTTAGTTTTTTCTTAGTTACATGTTAATTTTTTTGTTTTGTTCTGCTCCTACGACCATGAAGATTGCATGATTCTGTGAATTCATCTCACACAGCTAAACAAATATATATGTATGATTTAGAGATCCTTAGATTTTAAGTTGAACATGACTGTTAGCGCAAGATCTTACTAGTAACTTTCAGCTCATAGGAAAACTTTTCTCAGTAGCCATTTCTGTGTACAGTATATGATGATCTTTTGTAAATAAATTTTTTACTTGTTCATTTGGTCAGAAAGCAAAAATTCAAGATCATTTACAGCATGGGGATTATGCTTAATGAACATCTTTTAAAAGTAAAATATTTTAGTTTATATTTTTAACTTCTTTACTGACAATATGGAGTCTAATTTTAAGTTAGCTCCAGACTCTGTTTAGTAAAGTATTACTGGAAAGGTCACTTTCATATTCAAAAAAAAGTGTAGATGCAAATACAAATTTAATTTTCCCCTTACCCATAACATACTTTTAGGATTCTCAGTTACTGTGAGAAGTAACTATTTTGTGGGATAAAATTCTTCGACCCACCTTCACACTCTTTATTTATTATTCACTCATTAAATACTTGTCAGACAGTTGTACTTTGTTAGTGTATTTCCTTGTCAGAGAAGCAACCTTTTCTTGCTCACTTTCTTAATCACCTCAAGAGTTAACAATTAAAGTAAGTATATGTATAGTTTCTTCAGGAACAGGAAGGTTCAGACAGGCACAAAGGATGATTTATTAAAAAAATGTTTCAACATGCATAGAAGCTTCAAAGGAATGACACGAGCAAGTGTCATAACCGCTATCACTCTTGTAAGCGACCCATAGCAGTTTTGTTCTCACAATGTCATACATAATCAAGTGAAAGATTAGAAGAAAGTAAAAATATTAAGGAAAGCACATTGTTTAACTTCACTCAAATTTTTCTCTTTTGATTCCAGTGTTCTGGAAATACTTTTATATTAAAATTCTAATGTGTAGCTGACAGGGAGGTGTATGGGTAAAATTGGGTTTGTGGAGGTAAAAATACATAAGGCCTTCTTGTTATCATTTTTAGCCATATTTCTTCAATTATAACAAATTGGTGCCAATCACTCCTTCATATAACAAAAGAGAGAATATTATAATAGAAAATCCACCTCCCTGAAAGATCTAGAACCACTGAAATGTTCCTTTATTAGAACCCCATTTCCTAGTTCAAGATATTGACTGTCTGAAATTCAACTAAAGGTAGTTATTTCAAAAAGTTAAGACAGAAAAAAACACCATTAAACGGAAATGAAACTTTAGCCACAAGAAAGAGGAAGGGGAAATGATGTGTTATGATAATATTGACCTACAACCTAAGTTTCTGCTCGGTAAAATTATGCAAATCTCTAGACGTGCTTTAAAAAAACTTGACTCTAGTTGTGAGAACAAACCACTGAGATTAGAGGAATACTCTAGATGGAAGTAATATCATTTTGGAAGTTTTATTAACGGTCTGGATGTTTTAGCGCCAAAAGAAGTGAAGTGTGCCTTCTTTGTTTACATTGTTTTGTCATGTTAATTTTAAAATTGTCTTTCATCCGTCGACTACCGTCTGATTGCGGTTTTGTTAAATCACACTTAAGTTATGCCTGAAATATTTTGAGCACATGGCAATAGCACTTGTTAGCAAACTAATGAATTTACAATGTTTGTTTCATTTTAGACGGTATGGTGGGACAGGCTCCATTTCGCTTCGAGCCTGTTCTTTCAGCACGCTTATTTGTCGTTCCGGCGGCCTTGTTTCGTTTTTAACGTCAAATTCTCGTTTGTTATCAAAGACAGAAAAACAAGCCACGTGTAGAAATTTGAATTAAAAGGATCACGCAGTGTTATGTAAATGTAGCGAAAACAACTTATTGTCCCAAAGACCCAACGTTATTTGTCAAATTCGTGACGTCACCAACACGAAAAAACTTGCAAGCGCAAAGATAGAGAGAAAACTGAATTTTTTTACCAAGAAGCAATTTCAAACTTTGATAGTCTTGTAGGAAAGTTTTCTGCTTTTCAAATTTTGAAAAATTTATTGGAAAGTGGGCAAAGACAATTTTGGCGGGTATATTACAATTTATTCAGACTTAATTGTCTTCATAAATACATTATCAAAGGCGGGAAATTCATTTGATCTGTTTAAACCGCCGAAGTCACCCGAGCAGAGCAGTGCTGGTTTAAAAATGGCCGACTTCCTGACAATTTCCCTTCAGAAAAGTGGAATATACTTCCCTCAGCCAGGATCAAAGCTCTTTTCAGTGAGTAAGCAGATGATCAGGCCCGTTCCAAAGCTTGAGGATGTTTCTGAACAGTTAAACTTGCCGCAGAAGCAAAGAACTTCTGTCATCGTCTGGTCTTCTCCAACAACACCGACGAACAAATTCACGCCACCTTCTTCTCCACAAACTCCAACAACTCCAACTGGAACCATTATAAGCTATTCACCGACTTCACCGAATGTTATTCCACCAAGAGGAAGACCCAGAGCAGATGTAGTAAACATTTTGATGAAGGAAGGCCAGAATTCGTATTCTACGATCCGATGCGATGTGTGTCATCGAGTTTTCCCGCGCGAAAAGTCTCTGCAAGCTCACAGAAGAACACACAGTGGCGAAAGGCCTTACGTTTGTGATTTCCCGAACTGTGGTAAAGCCTTTGTCCAAAGTGGCCAGTTGAAGACTCATCAAAGGCTGCACACAGGCGAAAAACCATTCGCTTGTTCCGCTCAAGGTTGTACAACTCGATTTACACATGCTAACCGCCATTGCAGCATTCACCCGTACGCAAGCCTGAAACGTATCTTCACCGATATTCCTCTGAAAGAAATCTTGAAAAACGAGAATTCCGAGCCTAATGAATACAAAGCGGCTGTTTTACAATGGCTGGCCAACTACGAGCTCGATAAAGAGGAAAGAAATCCTGCAAAGATTCAAGAGAAAGTCATGAAGCGGAAGGTGGAAAAGGAAATCGCGAGGCAGCAAGTTGTTGAAAGAAAGAAATCGAGAATTGAGGCAAGAAAACGAATGGCTGAGGCGAAAGAAAGATGGTATGGAGCTATGGCGCTCGTGGAACTCGCTGATACTCAATTTAACTATAATTAACCAGACACAAATCCAATTTTCAAACTTTGGTGTCCATTTCACTTTGTGAAATAAACAACATTTTGGCGCGCAAAGTTTAAATGGCTTTTATGTCATTGTACAGTGTTGCAATGTATTAGTCTCCGATCTCTTTTTTCTAACACTCTGTGTGAATCGTGTTCTAGTCAACATAAAGCCGATAGGTTTTACCTCTTTGGAAAAAAACATTAGCTAGTTTTAGAACTAACGCCTCGTGGAAAAGTACTTTCGGTATGTAAATTAGTAGTATTTATTAATTAGTGATAAATCCCATCATGATAACAAGTGTATAACTCGTAACTTGCCGAAAGAATTAGTTGTACATAGGGAAAAAGCATCGCACTTTTAGATGAGATTTACGCAAATATATTTGGTTTGTATAGTTCGTAAAATTTCCAAAAATTATCCACATTCAGTCATTCTTACACAAAATTTGAAGTGCTTGCTATAGAAAACTAAGTTCCTCTAGGCGTAGATTATGGTGTATTCAGTTGAGTGTGTTTTCTAAAACTCTTACAAGGATACAGTTCTTTAACAACAGTGCAATGAATTGAAAGTTAAAAATCAGGGTTGTCTTTTAGTGACTTAAAGTTTATTCACAATAAAAAAAAAAGTTTTAGTAGTATACATGATGTGTTGTCACTGTACATTTTAGTAATACAGTGAGTTTCTTTAATTTTTTTTTTCAAGTGCACCTCTCTGGTCACACTAAAATTTCAAATCTTTGTGACCACAATGATATATGGCTGGAAAGCTGACACAGCCAGAGCATTAATGTTCTGTTACCTCAGGTTTTATGAATTTTCAGTATCCAACCTTAAAAAAAATCAGTTTGCAATGATGGACCACAAAACCAAGCATTACTTCATCTTAAAGTGGAAAACAGCCTAAAAAAAACTGTTGCACAGTAGAAGTAAAAAGATGACATTTCATTTTAATGCAAAATTATAGCCTCCAGCGGCCTTGAGTACAACTGACAGTGCATTTTAGCAATTTGAATCTAATAGTGAGAAGAAAAATTCAATTTTAAAAATTCCATTAAAACAAATATTTTCCCATGGTGATCTTAATTAACAAACTTGATACTCCAGACATCTCATTATTTAGGTCTAAGGGTAACACCACCTTGTCCCATTGAGTATTACCAATTTCTCACCCAGATAGCTTGACCAATAAATACCTGAGATTGTAAAAAGTACTCAATTGGACTGCACTCCAATAAAATCATAACTACTCTCCCTACCCCAAGATATCACTGACCGTACCAAGATGGCTGGATGATAACAACCATGATTTGCTAACAGCATTTTTTTTTTAAATAAAAGGCAGCAGAATAAAATTCCTCTAACATTTTTTATCTAAGCCTTGCGCTGCTTGCTCCATGGCAAAGCCACTCAATGCCATAGTGCACTTGAAACCAACAACTTTTAAGACCAGATGATAAAAACCTCTCACATTTCAAAAGAATTCAAAAGGAAAGGAAAAGGTGAACATCCAGACACCTTGGAACATAGTCTTGCTCAAGGATTTATTGAAGAGCAAAATGATTACACCAAACAAAATGGCCATGTTTTTTTTGCTTGAAGTTTCAAACTTAACAGTGGCTTTTTTGTGGGCCACTTATGAGAGTAAAAAATGCCAGAAAACTTACCCATGAAAAGCATGTCAGCTCTATTCCAGCATTGTTTTTCTTTTTTTTTTTTTTTTTTTTTTTTTTTTTTTTTTGCAGTTTCAAACCTAGCAATCCTGATAAGCAGGTAATTCCTGCTCACAACACCAGCAATACTCAACTGACTTAGGGAGTATTTGTTACTTACAAGTGTCCCTCAGGTGTTTCTTACTGCACCCCATAACAATTAGATATACTGCACCATTGATCACATCTTTTAAGGAACATTTTTTAGTTAAAAGAAGTTGGATGCCTTGAGGGGAAGCAAAAAAAACAGTGACTTGCAAAGGTGCTTGATTAAATTTGTGAGAAAAGAGAGTGTGACCATCTGAGTATCTATTTTAGGAAGATGAGTGCTTGAGCTGTTGCAGTCCTGTTTCCTGAGCTGTGATCACTTTGGTCAGCACCAGAGATAGAGGTTCTGGTCCAAACAGTTACTTTTGAGTTTGCATAGAAAAACTTCTCCACAGTACTTTCACCATTGTTTTAAATGGAAAAAAAAACAAAACAAAAAACAATGGTTTCGTCCTGATAGAGATCAGTGGCAAAAGAATCGAGGCTAGAGTGACAAGATTAATCCACCAGATAAGTTCAAAACTCATTCATCAAAGTAGTAAATTAGCCTTTAACCTTTGAACTCTCAAAAGTGATTAACATGTAACTTCTCACTATAATATCCATACATTAACCAGCAAACAGGAAATGGAAATATTCTAACTTATCAGATAAAAGTTAACTTGATCTAGCACCAAATTCTTGTAACTAGTTTGCAAGGAAATGTGTAGCTACTACAGGGGAGAATTAACAATGAGATTTTGAAGCTTAAGGGTTAACTCAATACTTCTAAGTGGAGGAAAATATGTACTCTCATTCTGATACCACATGATACAATTATTAGGGATGGGAGATTGATAGGGGAGGAAAGTGAATAGGATGAACAAATAACTGAGCTAAGTTAAAAAAAAGTTTTTTTAAACCATGATGGTTTGGTAACAGTAAACAATTATGCACCAAAGTGAAGATGACAATTTACTAAGCCAAAAAATGAGGTAAATATCCACAGCTTTCACCAACACTGAGATGAATAGTTGTTTTAGTACATCCCACACAAAAGCCCAAGAATTAATTTATTCTGCCAATATATATATTGGTCAGAAATTTAACTCTTGACACAAGATTTTGTCTCTTTAGCTGCTGGGAGGTGAATTATACTTGCTAATCACTTTCTAACCAGCCAATCACTGTTGTTCACTTGTGTGGTATAAATTATACTAATAAAAGATACTGCTACAATATCTTCTCAACACCATGAATAAACAAATCACTTTTTGTACCCGAAAACTAAGTACAAAAGATATTTTCAAAATGTACAATATAAGAATTGTGAAGTTTAATAGAAACCTACAGCACCAATCACTTATTAATTCCACCTCCTAATTATATCTCATTTTTATAGATTTCTCTTTCCCTTTCATTCATTTACATTTCCACAATACTTGTTTAAATTTGTGTTTGATTAAATCATTAAAATATTGGTTTACTTGGCACAGAGCTAGCTTCCACTAGCTCTCTGCTATGTATTTACCTGAAACAAGAAAACAAAAAAGTATTAGCAATTTTGCTAATAATTAAGAGAGCAAGATGAAAACATTTGGGAGAAATCTCAACATCAACTCTTAACAATAAATAATGAAAAATTATTGCGATGCAGCCACTATCATTGCAGAAACTTCACTTATTCAAACTTCCCCCCTTGAATATAGAGGCTCAGAAAATTCCTCCTCACTGTTAATAAACATCTTCAACAAAACAACACATAAATGTGCGTTTAACTACTAATTAACAACTAGCTTTATTAATTAATTTGCCAAGAAATTGGCTAGCCCAGTTATTAAACAACTAAGTTAACCATACAACAAACATACGAAATACATATATATGAACTGTGGTTATGAAACGTATATATGCCCGATCCTTCGCAGTAAAGCACTATTTAAGCAATAGTTAGGCTTGTTAGCTCAATTGGTAGAGCACTGCACTAGTATCGCAGAGGTCAGTGGTTCGAATCCCGTACAGGCCTGAATTATTTTGGGGTCTGATTTTCACTATTGCTTAAATAGTGCTTTACTGCGAAGGATCGTGCATATATAAGTTAACCATTAATTTATAAAGATTGACAATTATTGACTTACCAGTGGTAAACCTCTTTTTAACAAGAGATAGTTTGTATTCTTGACTTTTCAACTCAAAATTCAACTTGGAAATTGTGGCACCATTGCATGTAAACTGAACAGCAATTCGTGAAGGTGTACTTGGGCCTTGTGTTAAATCAAACCTTGCTCTCAGGGTACCTGATGATGAAAAAAGTCAAAATTTAAGTACCATATTTGCTCAACAAAGTATTGCTTGATTTATTAAGCTTTTTTGCAACTCAAGTGTGGTGCTTATTGACTTACAGCTAAAAAAAAATTGCATTTTACTTTTCAAAAGTAAAATGCATAAAACATTAGTTTTTAACACAAAACAAACAAGAAAATCCAAAATATGAGGCAGAATTGCGCCACCCACTAATACCAGCCCCATAATTTTTTGGCAGAAACATGACTAGTTGATGGTGAATTTTTCATGATCATCAGCTTGATCACCTTGAGTTTCTGATGTATTGGAGACTTCTTGAAGTTTCCATAATGCTCTCTGGTGTTCAGCAGACCTAAAATAAATTAATCACTCAATCATCTAAGGTATTCAATAACATTCAATCTGACTGTCTTCCAGTGAGCACAACATACAATAACAAAGTCTTCCATGAGAAACACTAAAATTAATATAGACAAAAACTTTAGTCCAGACCCCTACACAATCATTGCCTCAACTGGGTGCAAAATCCCACTTAAGAACACCTATCCAGATCCTAAGGGAATCCTGAAATAGATGTTCCCTTTACTCTTATCCCCTCTCTCCTTGATCAAGTAAAATTGAATTTGTGGAACAAAATTGTTTGTTCATCACTTACCAAGTAGCTGATGGTTTTGATTGCATGATGGTAACACCACCATTCATGGGTACCAGCACAGATAAGTTGCTAATCGAACATGGAGCTGACATACAGGATGGATTATAACGATAATCAACCCTAAGATCTGTTGCTTCCTCTTCACATTTCCAGTAACTACAGAGCTGAAGTGGAGTTGTTGAAAAGCCATTTGTTTTTACCTAAACATTACACAAACGCTTAGTAACAAACTGAATCAAACGATATCAAGCAAATACTTGTGTACTTTTCAGTGAAGGTTTTTCCAAAATATCAGCTTATTGTTACATGTAATTAACTGTAAAGGAATCAGGGAACATTTCAATACATTAGCATATCCATTGTTCTGTCCTTACAATAAAAAAATCAATGAATAAAACCTCCAGAATTGGGATTAAGAAGTCACACAGAAAATATATATAATGACGTTAGGGAGTAAAGGGCTAATCCATACCTCATATTTGATAATGTCAATATTATAATAGGTACTTGCTCCTTGCTCAGATTGTTTTTTAAGGTGATCAGCCAGAGATGCCATATTAAAATCATAAGTGACGCCATCACCACCACTCAACTGGCCTTTGCTGAATACAAAACACAAATAATAAATTTCAAACAGCTGTTTACTTTGGCTTTTTCCAGCCTGCATCTCAAGTTTATCAGAAAATTTAATTTTTTTCTTGGGCTAATGAAATATATTTTCAAATAAATTTATCCTTACTTTTCGAAAAGTTAATGTCAGACGTACCTATTAATCAAAGCCTTGTTTGGTAAGATCTGCTCCAGACATGATGTTCCACGAATGAGGAAGCTAAGCATTGGGGCATGTTCTACATCATAAATGAGTGGAAGTACACTGGCTGGAAATGATACAGTTATATCACCTGTGACCTTAACCATACACCTGACAATACAAAAATACAAAAATTAGGAGTTGTATAACAAAGCTTAAAGTATGATTTTTAAACCAATTGAATTTGCATTTTCTTCAGTTTCAGAAAATAATATTATCATGATTGTACACAAAGAAAAACACAAGTCAGCTTGGTTTGAAATCAATGTAGCCTGAATTTCATTTTTATCAATGACAGATGTCCCACCATTGAGGCACACAGTTCATGTTCTGGTGATAGTAAATGTGCCAAAAAATCTGATGTCAAATGCAAAAAATATTAAAATGAGTGAACTAGCATGCTCAAAACAAACCAGTTAAGAGGATGTAACCAGCACTAGGCAAACTAAACTAAATCACAGACAAATTCCTTTAAAATCCTCCATCAGTTTCACTTGAATTGACAGGCAAAAAAGTTTCAGTCCTTTCTTTTTTCACTTAATCAACAATTCCTTAGAACTGGAACCTGAAAGTGGATATGCAGATTGTTCATTTGGCACCAGAGAACCATGAATTCCTGGGCTATACAGCATAGAATTCTCTAGCTAAATTTCAATATCCTGAACCTGTTTTTATTCAGAAATTAAG